TTCAACAGATCCGGTCAAGTGAGAATTCAGCCGACCTATTCACCAAATCATTGCCGACTTCAATGTTCCGGAAGCTCATTCATCAGATCGGGATGCGCGGACTTAAGGATCTACAGTGATGCTCATATCAGGGGGAGTAATGCGTGTTGTACTCTTTTTCCTTCACCATGGTTTTGTCCCACTGGGTTTTCCTGGTAAGGTTTTAATGAGGCAACATTCCCCAACGCATTATAGAGATCCCGGTTTAGTATCGGGCACGGTTATGTCTTCCAAGGGGGAGTGTTATAAACCATATGGATGGACTCCATAACCGGCCCATGACCCATTAGGGTTTTACCTTATTCTCTATATCCTACTATTATCCTTGTATATATATCCCTTATACTATTAATGAAAGACACAGTTTACAACAAGATGTTAGATTCATAATAATAATTTTCCAAGCGTCCAATATTCTACCACAATTCTTTTTTGATATTTTGAGTTTGGCTAAAAAACAAAGAATTGACTTGAGTAAAAAACAACTAAAGCGATGGGTGGAATTCCGAGTTTAATAACACAAAAGCTTGGTCAACGCGGTTTATCCTTGCTTTAATGCATGGACCCGAGGACGATTTCATTTTCTTGGTCCCTTGAACAAAATTAATAAAATCTGAGCAGATATAATGTGTGAAATGTGATACAGTTACTGGATTTATTTTAGAGTCAATGTCCTAAAGTTATATATTTGCAAGAATGTGATGTTGCTTGGCTAGTGTTATCGAATAATGATTTTTCCGTATTTGGAATTTTGGATTACTCGTATCCGACTAATATATAAATAAGATCAATATTTTTATGAACATATACGAAAAAAAAAAAATCTTTGGTCAGTGGGGAGAATTCTAGACCGGTACTCAGACTAATTCTCCAAAACATACATAAATTCAATTTTTACCACTGAAAAAAGTGGACAAAGGTGGATATAGAAGTTTTATTTGATACAAAAAAATAGTCATTTAAATATCTGCTATGACCTGATACGATAACCAAGGTTCAGATGTTTGTCTACAAACAATCTAAAATCCAATAATGTTGTTGGTCTTCAGTCTACCACTCCGTGGGTTATTAGATACTCCTCAGGAAAGCCCGGCCAGATTTGGTGTTGTTAAGCAATGACTTTATGTTGAATTGGTTGCGTTGCAAACAAACAATGACTTTTACTTTTAGCAAAAAAAAAAACATTACAAAATTATGTTAATTACTTACTTAAAGTTAAATTAAAAAAATCATGGTACAATCCAAAACACAACACGGTAATTAGATTGTGTTATTGGGTTGAAATTGTTTGCTGCAACTAGGCCTGGGCTAACGGTTCGAACCGATTAAACCGAACCGACCGAACCGAGAAATTCGGTTATCGGTTTCAATTCGGCAGAGAGACAAGAACCGATCGGCGGATTTCTAAATTTATTTCGGGTATCGGTTCGGTTCGGTTCGGCAAACGATAACCGAACGGTTTATTAAAAACCGTAGTATATAAGACTAGCATTTGTCACAAACCCTAAAACACGAGCCTCCTTCGTTTTCATTCACGACTTATCTCTCTCTGTCTCTCGAACCCAAGGAACTCCTTCATCTCATCTTAACCTCGTCAATTTCTTCTTCGATTTGTCATTCATCTCAAGGATCTATCAAAATCATCCGTAAATTCTCGTCGAAATTTGTCAGTCTTGACTTCCTCTCGATCCGAAGAGATCTCGAATCAGTAAGTTCTTCTCTCTTACGAGTTGGGGGTTTATTTTATCTGTATTGGGGGGTTTGATTTTTGTTTTGTGGGTTTCATATTTGATTCTTCAAAACCCTAATTTTTCAAAACCGTAATTTTTATTTTCGATTTGGGGTTCATTTAGCTTGTATATTGTTCTCTGTTTTTGATTTGGGGGTTTGAATTTTGAGTTGGTGTTTGTATCTGAAAACCCTAATTTACTAATTCATAAAAACCCTAAATTTCGATTTGATGCATGTCGTTTATCTATTGTTGTCTGTTTTTGATGCATGTTTTATATGTCTATTTTGTAGATGGCTTCTGAAGATGAGATTGACATCGACGTTGAACCAGAATCTGTTCCGGAATCTGTTAAGACTAGAAAAAGGTCATCTTCGTCAACTGCTATGCCACCAAAACCGAAGAAGAAATATGCTAAAAGGGCACCAGTCTGGCAACATTTTGTCCTCAAAGAAGGTGATGACTTACATAGCATCTGTAAGTATTGTAGAGCTGAAATAGGATGTGATACGAAATTGGTAGGCACTAGTCCGATGATTAGTCATATAGAGAGGTGCAAGTCATTCAAGGAATATGATGAAAGGGATAAACAACAGAAGTTAAGTGGTGTTGATGGTGGCAATATGAAAGTGGTTAGGTATGATCCTCTTTTGTTTAGGAGAGCAGTCAATACATTGGTGGTAGTCAATGAGCTGCCTTTCTCTTTTGTTGAATCAGAGGGGTGGAAGGATTTCTGTGGCTTAATGTTGCCTATGTACAATACATTTTCAAGAAGAACATGCACACGAGATATTGCTGCCATGTATTTGCAAGAGAAGGCTGCACTTAAGCATCTGTTTAGTGTAGAGAAGAAGAGAGTTTCACTGACCACAGACATATGGGTGTCTCCTACAACATCCTACAACTACATGGTCGTGACTGGTCATTGGATTGATGCCAATTGGCGCATGCAGAAAAGATATCTCAGCTTTAAGGTGATCAAGGACCACAAAGGAGACACAATAGCTGGACAGCTTCTTGACTGCATAGATGAGTGGGGAATTGAGAAGGTATTCACTGTGACTGTTGATAATGCAAAGGGTAATGACAAGGCTCTTAGGGTATTTACAGAAGCATTGAGGCTGAGAGGACCAGAAGCTTTAGTTCAAGATGGTGATTTAATGCACATGAGATGTTGTGCTCACATCTTGAACCTTATTGTGGGGGATGGTCTTAAAAAGGCCAAGACTAGCATTGTGGCTATTAGGAATGCAGTGAAGTATGTGTGCAGTAACTTCCAGAGGTTGAAGTCTTTTGTTCTGCGGTGTGAGACAGGAAAGATAGCTAGAGGAAGCTTGCCTCTAGATGTTGTTACAAGGTGGAATTCAACTTATCTTATGTTGACTTCTGCCATTAAGTTAAGGCCAACCTTTGAGAAGATGTCTGCTGAGGATAAGCTGTATTGTGAGTACTTTGAGGAAGAAGAAGAGAAGACTAAGACAAAGAGAATCGGACCACCAACCTCCACTCAATGGGATGAAGTAGAGAGGTTAGTGAAATTTCTAAAGATCTTTTACAAGAGTACTTTGGTATTTTCAGCTTCAACATCAGTAGTTTCTACACTATGTTACAATGAGATTGTGAATATAGAGAAGAATTTGATCGGTAAGTGTGGTCATAGGACTAAAGAGGTTAGAGATCAAGCATTTCTGATGAGGGATAAGTTTGAGAAATATTGGGATGGGTTGCTGAATATGAATGAGCTTATGATCATTGGTTCTGTATTTGATCCAAGAAACAAGATGCAATTTGCTGACTTGTGCTTTGAACAGTTGTATGGTAAGAACACTATAGAGACTAGGCAGTTACATGCTTCTGTTACAAATGTAATGAAAGATTTATATGCGGAGTATAGCATCCGATTAAGCAAACCAAATGTTACCGATGGAGGTGGAAATCAAAGTGGTCCTCGAGATTCTGAGCAGCAAAGTACTACGTGTGATTTGTCAGATGATGAAGATGATGTGATGTATGAGGGAGCTGATGTAATTTTCCATAAGCAGGTTAGGGAAAGGAGCAATGTAGAAGGTTTTAGTGAGCTAGATATATATTTGGCAGAAAAACCAGAGTTGAAAGTGGCTAATCCTTTGGGGTTACCTTATGACGTTCTGCATTGGTGGAAGTGTAATAGCTCCAAATTCCCAATATTATCAGAAGTTGCTAAAGATGTCTTAGCACTACAAGTCTCATCAGTTGCCTCAGAATCTGCCTTTAGTACTACTGGCAGAATCTTAGATCCTTATAGGAGTTCTTTAACGCCTTACATGATAGAGGTGCTGCTGTGTACACAACAATGGCTGCGGTGTAAATTTAAATCTCAAGCACAAGTTGAAAACTTAGTGCAAATGTTAGAAGAAGTTGTGTTTTTCGAGACGCTTGGTAAGTATCAAAGTATCCTTCTTATTTGTTATTACTACTTGACTACTTGTAATGTATTGCAAACTAACAATTGATGTTTTTTTGTATAGATTCAAGGAACAATCTTGCTTCTTCTCAGCCTACTTCTTCTCAGCCTCCGTTATCAACCGATCTTGACATGGATGGAAAGGTAATATTATTGGCTCATTTGAATGTTTTCTAAATGCTATGACTTATGATTGTTTTGTTTGTCATTTGTGAATGCAGTAGCAACAATTCATGGAACTAGCTGCATCAATGAGCCAATGACTCCTATAAGTGTCTTTCTTTATGCTCTATTTTGCTTCCATCTTTGAATCAGACTTTTAACGTGGAAGTTTCTGTTTTGTTGATTCAGACTTTTAATGTGGACTTTTATTGCCTAGACTTTAAACTGGTTTGTAATGATTTTTGTTGTGACATTTGGTGTCAAACTGGTTTGTAACAAGTGTCAGGTTGTTTTGCATGGGTCAAATGGTCTAGTTCGGTTTAAATTAACCGAAATAGAATTTAATCGGTTTAATTTCGGAATAGATTTCAAACTTAATAACCGAACCGAAATAACCGATAACCGAACCGACCGAACCGAAGTTTTAATCGGGTAGTTCGGAGGGTTTTTAAATCGCCGAACAACCCGAGAAACCGAATAAACCGAACCGAAAAACCCGAAAAAACCGGACGCCCAGGCCTAGCTGCAACTTTCAAACACTGACTTTTTATTTACAAAAATCATGGTTAATTATAAATTTATAAGTGAAAATTAACAAATGGGCCGATTTGACCCAATAAAGCCTTGACAAACCGGGCTAACCCGTCTGCAACCCGACCCGGAAAGTTGTAACTTTTTTTTCACCCTAAAACGAAAGACCCTTCTCTAGCACGTCGGAGTTGGGAAGATCAAGATCTGCAGACATGGCGGACGAAGCAACCAGAGCTGTAAGTTCCTCTTTGTTAAATCCGCTCAATTCCTTGCATAAAATGCAATCTTCTTAGTTCCCGATAAAGACGTTGGAATTCTAATGTGTAAAGTTACAGGCTTTTATGGAGATTCAAGCAAGTATGATTGAACTCACTGGGAAGCTTAAACAGGTAAAATCCTCCCTTTCTTTGTATTATCGCCTTCCTATTTGATTATTTATCAAGTTTTAGAATCAAACGTGACACATTGTAAAAGTGGTTGCTTCTATTTTGTTAGTTCTTGAACTATGTTTGAGTTTGGAATCACTTCTTTGGATATATACCACATTTTCAATGCTAAATAGCTTGTTATAACTGGCGATATGAATATGATTCAGTGAAAAATGGTTCAGTATTTCGACAATGGTGTGGAGAAGCTTAGCTCTATGTATTCGTAAAACAAGATGCCACTGGAGATGGCAAAAATTATAGACATTACTGTTATTGGCTGTCCTAGGTCATTGTCATGTGGTGATTAAGTGACATATATGTGAATACGTATGGGTTTTATAGGTGCAGAATCAGATGCGCAACAAAGAGGGAGATAGAAAGCGAGCTTTCTTAACCTTGGAGGAGCTGAGGCCATTGCCTGAGGATACAAACACCTACAAGTCAATAGGCAAGTGATTCCGTTCTTTGGTGATACAAGGATAGTAGCTTTTGGGTTTATCATGTCTAACTTGTGGTTTATTCTTGTTTTCAGGAAGAACGTGAGTGGTTAATAGTCCGTCCAACTAGGGCCTTGTGAGAATTTTGAAGGCTGATTATTGTTTTGCTTCATATATATGGTGAACAGGTTTGTTCTAGAGCCCAAGACAGTGCTGGAGGGTGAACAAGAGCAAAAACTCAAGGACAGTGAGGCTGCTGTTGCTTCTCTACAGGTACATCATTCCCTCTTTCGAAGATCTGATTGGGTTATTAAGAGATCATTGAAACGCCGGTTTTATAACATGTTTGCGGGATGATTGTCAGACATCGAAGGAATACTTGGAGAAGCAGACAGCAGAGGTGGAGAACAACTTGAGGGAGCTGTTGCAGCAAGAACCGGGCATTGCTCAACAGATAATGTCCATGTCTATGTAATTTTTGTATTATCCAAACCTGAACAAAAAAGTACACTCAACTCTGAGTTTTGTTCTGCTTTATTAGAGCTTTTGGGATTGAAACCATAAGATGTTCTGTTTCTGAAGTTTGTAACATTCACAAGTATTTGTCCGATCAGAATTAAATTAAAGTCTATTGTGCGAAAACAAAGTTAGATCTAACCAACTCGAGATTGCATTGAACAATGTGAACGTATATAAATTTAATCTCACACAATCTTAACAGAAGTAGATATAATATAATGAATTCAAGTGTAACAACAATTAAAACTTAAGTAATGTTCCTTTTTAGTAAAAACTTAGTTGACCAACCATCAAAAGCATGGGAGGAATAAATGTCAAAAGACATACACATACATATCAAACCCCAACAAATACATTCCTTCATGTACACTGATTTTACACTATTTCTTCAAGGAAATCATGGATCATAATGTCTCGGCATCTAAGCAGTCCTCTTAAGATGTCCATAGTGTTGGCTTCTACGTCTAAAGCCGTTCCCAAAAAAAAATCCAATTCAAGATTGATTGACGTAAAGAACGGGAACTAGTCCCGCCATCTTCCCATCTCTTCCAGGCCGCTTCTTCTTTACCTGTCATAGTTTATAAGTTGATCCCGGTTAGGCTAAGGTTTTAAAAAGCTGTGCTCCTCACTAGATTTAAGTGTTGTCTCTCTAATCCAAGTACTACTTACATAAAACCAGCCATCTACTTCATACTCTATCTCCAATTCCTCTTCTGCCGTCAAGTTTAGCTGCAACATACCGATAGGTGTTTTAAAACTTGCATCATAACACATCTTTCCAGGAACAAGATAACCGTGTAGGTAAATAACGAATGGATAATATTTGAACCACATATTTCTGAATCATTTAACTGGTGTTTTCCAGAACATACCAAAGGAAAACGACAAAAGCAAGCTTACCTCATCATCTCCTCCTGCAGTGAAGTCATAGAGCGCTGTTCCAAATCTTGTACCAGTAGATTTCCTAGGTTCTTCATCATCTGATTCATAACTTCGAGAACCAGACCCTGCTACAGGGTTCTCAAACGATTCACGACTTTGTGGCTCAGAATATGAATAAGGCGGAGGAGGCTCTTCTCTAATCTGAGAGAGAGAGGAGAAAGAAGAATAAGAAATGACCATTCTAACAGAGAATCAGCCCATTTCACAGCATATACAAACACACAAAAGAATATCAGCTTACCGGGGAACCATAGCCTTCATATGTGGACTGGTATTTGCTTCCACCCGATTTTGCCTATTTGAGTTACCACATTCATATAGTTAAAATTAGTTGGCACGAATAATTCATAAGTTTTTATTAACTAAATTTGTGTGTGCCCTACCGTTGCTTGTGAGGAAGGCTTTGAACTGAATAATGATGGGTAGTTCATTCCACCAAAGTGAGAGGATATAGAGCTTTCCACTGATCCAGTAGAATCTGGAGACGATGAACCTGATCTCGCATCTTCTTCCTGCAAATACAACGACAGTCATTTTTAGCATCCTTAGAATTAAGTCATTTTGATGAAAGCCCTGAAGATAGATTAAGCTAATAGTATACCTCCAATTCTGAAGTTTCTAAAAGAGTCTTAGCCCACATGTCATCATAGCCAACTGAAGGTCTAGAGAAGACATTCTCCTCCTCAACATCTGGTGCATCTGTTCCGACTCCAGAAAGGAATTCATTGACCTGACAAACATTATATAGGTCTGAGTTTCATTTCGAGACATAAAAGAATTGGTAGCATCTATAATGTAATTATGTACGAATAAACAGGTAGATCAAAAGTTCACAACCAGATAATCAGATGAATGGTTAACCACTACTACTTAAACCTTAATAGCATGTGAAATGTAAGCAGATCTGCTATCGACTTATAATCAGAAAAGACAATACCCAAACTTTCCATCACAAGTGTAGTCCCAAAGCATTCATTATTGACCCCATTCAGACCAGTTCCGACCAAATGGGACGTGAAACGGTTTACTATGTCTTCTTTGAAAACAAGGTTTTACACTTTTACTCTAATGGGCAATCCACACAACTGCTCATATCTTTCATCTAACAATAAGAAGAATATCTAAATAGTACACACAGGCACTAAACTGCACACATACTAATCCGTTATCTTAAAAGGTCAGATAAAAAAGGTAACTGACCCTACTCATTGCTGGGGCATTGTTTCCAAGAAGACCATCATCGCCAAGGTTTGCAGCCCAAGCATTCACCAAATCATCATCCAGACCACTGGAGTTTGAGACAGCGGGGGCAGGCTGAGTGGACTCGTAAATTAAGTCCGAAATTCCAGTAGCAACGACAGCTGGATCGGTGGACCCGGTAGATGCAGTGATATTGTGCTTTGTGCGGTATATGTCAATGAGCTTTGCGCTTCATAGGTTAGGAGGAAAAAAAATAAGTATTATCATATGAAACCTGTATATAGACAGACAGAAAAGCACCTAATAAAATGAAGAAAAACGGGGAAGCAAGCATGCAATTTACACAAAAAAGGTCGTCAGCGAGATCACCAAACATGAACTGTAAATTCTGGACTTCTTTTGATTAAACTGTTTATATATAGTTGACTACATCAAAACAGGTATAACATCGTTCTTATTATTTTTTTCAGAATCTTGGATAAAATTTATCTTTTCTTGTCCTCATGAATAAGGATAATTACATGCAACGCAATAAACTCTGCTAAACTAGATAAGCATACAACAAAAAAGCAGAAAGTCTTTTGGAAAATATAAAAAAGGGTTCGATGTACTCCTATTATTCCCTCCCATCTTCTCTATGCAATATAAGTATCGTAAGTAAGTATTATGTATTAGAGGGTAGGCTGTCTTTAATTGATATAATGAATTCAGAATGCTACCTTATCGGGCCCAGTGGTAAATACTTGGCTCTAGGAATATAGCAAAACATTGAAACAAAATCTAGCAGTCTCTCATGGTTTTCGTAGAGTTTTTTCAGCTCCTCATCCTTCCATTCTTTGTTTGCATTATCGTGATGGCGTATATCCCTTATTATCAAGAAAAAAGTCATTTGTCAATCATAATATCATATAGACGTTTACACGCACACATCACATGAAAAAAAAAAAAGAAGATATAATATCTTTCTTACTTGATTAATTCGTCTTGTCCAACATACATTTCATCAAGAACTTTTAACATCGGAGTTATTAAAACTCCAAGCCCTGTACCACTAGCTCCTTGGTCTTCACCATTACTCAGGTGCATTTCAGAAAGTTGAGACTGTACACCACCCTCTGCCAAGGTGTACAAAAACTCGTATATCTGCAGCCTAAAAGGTTCACCAGATCTAATGGCTATCGTAGTAAGAGCTTGAATTGCAACAATTCGGACCTGTGTATCCACAAAACATAAACACTAAGGCAGGAAACAGTAAAAATAATTCCTATCACAAATTTTCCAGTTAAAAACAATAAAAATCAAATCAAAATATATAACCAGCAAAATATAGTGGTATACCTCCCAGCTTCCACTAAACGCACACCTCTGGAGGCGAGTTAATGCACCAGCTAGGGTAGGATTGCGAGAACTAGCAGCAGCAACCATTTTATCTGCATCCAACATCATAAGTGCTGTGCCTGGTGGAGTTGCAGATTCCCATGCGTATTCTGAAGCAGCGTAGTTTGCATTTTCTCCAAGGAACCATACCTGCCACAGTATTCCTTCTAAGATAATGTGTTGAAAGCATTAACAATTCATGTAAAACCTTATGAGAAATGCTCACTGCTGCTTGAACCAATTTCTGCAGCGCCAGAGCTGACTTAGGATCTGATGCAGAGACCCTATCAATTGATGTCAGTCCAGCCATGGACCCCGGTTGTGGAGGTGGTAGATCAAGTACTATTGTGACTGCTTCCAGAGCTGTGTGTTTCCCGTCAGGACCAGCTCCAACAAGACATGTCTAGAAGTTGATCAGATGATAAATTGTATCAAATAAACTATTTGAGGTAGCAAAAGTTCAGCAAACTATCCCACAATAATTTGAGCCTTACAAATATACTTACAATTACGATTTTTATCCAAATATATAGCTACCAAATTTAAATAAACAAGCAAACTTCAAGATCTCAAAATGTCCTAAACACAATAAAAATTTGAAACAGGAAGAAATATACAACAGATGTAAGTAAATTATAATAGCTTTAGAATTACAACCGCAAGAAGAGAATACCTTCCAGAGTAGCTGTAAGACATCAGCGTCAATTTTCCCTGGAACTTTGGTGGCAAATATTCTGGCAATTTCGAGAAGAATAACAGCCATATCTGGAGTTGCCTGTGAAAGAAAAATTAAAAAGAGTTAACTAGTCAAAAGAAAACAGTTCACAATTCAATCTTCGACAAATTTGTTCAAGTTTTTCTTCAGTGTCATCGCAATGGATGAAATTTTTCACAAGTTCCAAGGTGTAGAATTTTTCTGCCAGATACCTCTTGTTACAAAATCTAAGTAATTAAAGAAATTCCCTATATCAGTGAACTACTACAAACATCCTACTTATAGGATTGTGGACAAACAACAGAGCTGCTTAACTTTTAAACACTTCGCAAATGCATTGGAAAAATCAAAACGCCAAGATAAAATCATACTTACCTTAAAGCGAGCATGCAAAGTAAGCAAAACATCATTAACTAGAGCTGCGGGCCAACCAGGATCTGAAAGCTCTGAGGCAATGATTGATTTCAACTCATCCAATGATTCATCTGGACTTTGCATCCATATCAATGCTTTGATAACCATTGCCCGGACATACACGCACTCACATGCTACTGTTGTCCGAACTACCTCCATTAATGCAGCTAGCAAACTTGCAATTGTATCATTGCGACCAGGCCCTGCGGATATGGATGATGTTCTCCGTATTCCTGCAAAAATATTCAATTGATAAAATTAAGGGTAAACATGTAACCAAAGAGTGGGAAAGAAGGTAGATACAAAGTGATTTGGAACATGTTAAAAATCGAAAGATAAAAAGATACCCTACATATGTAAATAATTCGGTAAAGAAAATCAAAGCAATAGGACCAAAAAAATGCGTTCCTTTGTTTAGGTCTGAAGAGAAGATTGATAAACCATCATATTATTTTTGTA